TGATGTATTATTTTCAAGTGTAACTTTACTATTTTTATGTTTACTTGACGTTTTTTTCGATGATTTGATAACTTTTGTTTGATTACCTGAAATTTTTTACAATAGAAACAATAAAGTAATCAAATAAAATTAACTTGAATCTACTTACCAGCATATACAATAATTCCATCAACATAATCAGTTATCCGAAGTACACATCCACGTAATAGAATATTATTATTATCACATGGATAAATCTTTGTTTCTGATGATAATGTTATTCTACCATGAAAATGATAAATATCTTCGTTTGGTGGATCACATTGTAATTCAAAACTTGTTTCTTCAGGTTTCGAAAGATTTAAAAAACAAGATGGAATAATTTTTTGTTTCAAATTTGTTTCACCATCAATAGCAGCTGTATCCAAATAACAAGTACCTTCACATGATGTCGAAGATATTAGAAGAATATCAGCTGGTACTGTTTGACCAACATGTACTCGAACAATACTTCCAACTGATAAATCTTGCCATTTACATTGAATAAATGTTCGTGATGTTCTATACATGAGACACAAAACAAGAATAGAACTATAGATTGCAATATTCGAGTTTCATTCAGCATTTTGAATGCTACTAATTTGATATTTTAAATGCAGAAACAAGGAATGTTGAATCAAGATCTATTGAATTCAATTTTAATCCATCTCATTCGTATACATTAGAGATGTGCAAGGTAGAGAGTAGAGAGTTGAGGATTAAGTACAGCTTGTGTCTTTCAAGAATAGACAACAAAGAAAACATTAACATGTGGAAAAACATTTTGTTTTTGAGTAATCAGGTTTTGAAAGAACTTCATGAATTAAACGAAGAAAAGATATGAAGTTTTGTCATACTACATGAATATAAATATTAAACATGAAACACTAACAATTAATTAATAATGAGTTAGGTAATAATAATAATCGATAAGAAAATGTGCACACTAACTTACAAAAACAGATAAACAAAATCAATAAATAAATGGACAATACCTAATTTAGTCATAATCTATTATAAGTCATGATGGTATAGTTTCAAAAATCATTTAAGAAAAATTATTTATTATGTTCTACTAATAAAGATATTTCACTATATAACGGGTGCGGCAGAATAAATGGCGGTCTCAGTATTTTGACTATAGCTTTTTTTCTTTGTGTTCTTTAGAGCTGATTGTTTTTCCAAAAGATGC